GAGTAGACAAGTGTTCATAATAGAGAAAACAGAAGACATAGGATTGTTGTAGATTTAAATGTATTTTTGGAAAAATTAATGTAAATGATAAACAAAAGACAGAATTACAGATCAACGTAAGGATACACTTTCAGAAGAGATGGTAGGATTGAAAATGATAACTGATATAGATGCAGAAATCAGGGACATGCAGAAACCCAGAGAACACAGGATATTGCTGGAATGTTACTGCTTGACTAATCCATTTGCCCAAAACCTAGAAAATCTAGAAATTTGAAACTCCTGTGGAAATCACAAGATGCTGCCATTACTTTTCCAGAGAATGATCTTTGAGCAATCCGAATGATCCACGAGATGCAAAATTCTTCTTCACCTGTAATAACAGTCTTCAATCTCCCTCCCCGTTCCCCATTTCCACCACCCCCTCGGCCTTGCTAGCCATGCAGTCTTTTCTTGAGGGTATTGGGCTTTCCTATTAAAAGTACATCATTGACAATCCCCTCACAACCTAGGCTATTTGCCTTCCTGATTGTTTGGTACACCTGCAAACTAACCTTCAGTGTTCAGTTTAAGTATAATCCAGTCTCTCTGAACATGAACACTTAAAATGTTCAAGCCTTTTAAAAATATCTTATTTTTATGTATGGCCAAAGTGAATTAATTTACTTTCAACTAGTCTTGAACTCTTTGCAGCCTCTATGCCCTTTTGTCTGCACTCCATAACTCTCATCTTCCTTGTCTATCAAAGATTTAACTGACTCAACCTCCTGACTTTTGGGGAAGATAATTCTGCACTCTAATAACCCTTTGAGGGAGGAGAAAAGTGCTGAACCTGCTTCTTAAAAGGAGATCTGTATTATTAAGGTATACCTATAATTTTAGTCTCCCCAACAATAGGAAACACACTGTCAACATAGGATTTTAAGGGGACTCGATAGGGTGGATGTGTTTCAATACAATCACCTCTCACTATTCTAAAGTCCAATGGATATGGCCTAACCTGTGCAACCTTTCTTCATAAGTAAAGCTCTTTAGTCCAGAAAAGATTCAAGTGAACTTTCTACCTTAGAACTTAGATGAAAGTACTATAAAAATGCAAATTGGGTGCAAGAAGGTAAATGCAGTAATCCATAATTAAATCACTACCGCTATCTTGATTAGAAGGAGTGGCTTAAAAACCACAGTTATTTAAAAACACTACTAGAAATGCATACAAAAATCAAAAGGTAATAGCTCAAACCTAAAATCTTGGCATATTGGAAAGTTATGAGCAGATTATGATTGATTGTATTTAGTTTACACTCAGTACTGCAACAAGTATGTTGTGATGATATGCTTTATTTGGGCAGACTTTTAAATCCTCACGTTTATACCTCAATAATAATCCACGTGGAAATACTTCTTGGGCATGCCTGTTGCGATTTTTAAAAATTCTTTTTAAACTCTATTCAATTTAGGAAACCTCATAATTCCAGCCCACACTGGTCCAAGGAGGCTAACCCAGAAGAGGTTGAGATTTATTCTGGAACCTTCCTGGTTCATATGGCTCAGGCTTACACCACAGTTATCGTATCCAATGAACCTTCACAGGAGTAACTCACGCTGACACCTTGAAAATTCTCAGTGGGATTTAAAAATAAAACAAGTTTGTGGGATGCTATTTACTTGCAAAGGACAGGCAAAAAATCATACTTCTGTTTCTTATGAATATATCAATCGTTCTGGCAAGCATTTGAGGTGCCACTTTTCTTCATGGTATAGCAAAGTATTCAAAAACAAAGGCAGAAATGAAAAGCACTTTATGCCCAAGGAAACTAGCAGTGAAACTCCAGATGCATAGCATTACAAAAAGAAATTCAGCTGGCGGAAGAGAGATAGTTATAAGGAATAAAGCAGAAGAGCAGGGTGGAGCTATAAATAAATGTTTTCAGATTGACAGGATGTGGGTAGCAACGCGCCACATTATGTATCTAGGCCTTCTTTTGCTTTCCATTTATAAATTATGAATTAATACATTATTTTGTTATAGACACAATAACAGAATTTGCTGATTAGGGGCTATTGTAAATTGAAGAATGGAAGGGATCATAGGAGAAATGATAAGTTAATAGAGTGAGAATTGACAGCTGTCACTCACTGCATAAAAATATAGGAAAAATTTAAAAACAAAACAGCAAGATTATAAATGGATTGCAGAAACAGAAAACTTCGTGCGCAGAGAATTAGTAGTTTAAAAATCTGCCTGAAAATAACATGAAATGCAGAGATGGTATTTTACACAAGTATATTCCACATAGGTATTTATAGGGGTTGTACAATGGCTCACCAGTTAGCACTGCCACCACAGAGTCATGGACCTGGCTTCGATTCCACCCTTTGGCGACTGCCTTTTTGGAATCTGTATGTTCTCCCCATGGCTGCATAATTTCCTCCAGGTGCTCTAGTATTCTCCCACAATCCAAAGATGCGCAGGTTAGGTGAATTAACCAGGGGAAATGCGAGGTTATGACAATATGGTAGGTGGTGCTGAGTCTGTGTGGGATGCTCTTCTGAGGAGAGTGCAGTTGGGCAGAATGGTCTTTATCTGCACTGTAGGGATTCTATGATTACACTGGGATTTTAAATATAATAACCAACTTAAGACAATGCAGAGTTTGTGTAAAATTTCAGTTTGACAAACTGTGTTTTGGACTTCTTCACAAAACGATATTGGAGAAGCAGAAAGGATACAAGGTAAGGGGTAGTAGAAACTGCCGATGCTGGAGAATCTGAGATAACAAGGTGTAGAGCTTTTCTGAAGGGTCCAGACCTGAAACGTCAGCTTTCCTGCTCGGCCTGTGTTCATCCAGCTCTACACCTTGTTATCAAGGATACAAGGTAAATTGCTTTTGTAGATTCACTTGAATTGTTAATTTAGGATTGAAGAAAGGCCTCACCTCAAATGAATAGAAAACAAAATTGGGAAAAACCACTGATTTTGAAAATTTGAAACATCTTGAGTTGTAAGAGATGTAAAATATAAGAGACTTTTTCTACTGGATAATGACAGCGCAAAGGTAATTTCAAACATTGTTGATGACCTAACCCATTCAGCAGGAAAAACAGAGCTTAAAAGCCTGATGATATTGACATAGATGGCATGTGGACTAAACATTGGTATTGTACATCACAATAAGTTACTCTGCAAGACTAAACATAGGAGTCAGTGGGAAATAGCTAGAATAGGTCGATAATTGGCTGCATCCCCATAGGCAGAAAAGTTTTTATGAACAGTATGGTCTTCTTTACAGGCCAGTTCACAATGCCACTGCACACAAATCAGTGGTAGGGTAATCACCAAGTATGGCCTATAAGGAGATAGTAGGAACTGCTGATGCTGGAGTCTGAGATAACAAGGTGTGGAGCTGGAGGAACACAGCAGGCCAGGCAGCCTCAGAGGAGCAGGAAAGCTGATGTTTCAGGTCTGGACCCTTCTTCAGAAATGGGGGAGGGGAAGGGGCTCTGAAATAAATAGAGAGGGGGGGCAGTGATAGAGGGTGGATAGTGGAACAGATAGGTGGGAGAGAAGACAGACAGGTCAAGGAGGCGGGGATGAGGGGGGTGGCTGGTCTTGGGATGAGGTTGGGGTGGGGAGATTTTGAAGCTAGTAAGGTCCACATTGAGACCATTGGGTTGTAGGGTTCCAAGGTAGAATATGAGGTGCTGATCCTCCAGCTTCCAGGTGGCATCGTTGTAACACTGGAGGTGGTCCAGGATGGACATGTCGTCCAGGGAGTGGGACGGGGAGTTGAAGTGGTTTGCAACTGGGAGGTGTTGTCGTTTGTTGCAAACATAAGGTATGGTGGATGCAGAAAGAGTGGGACAACTCTGGC